TAATTTATGATTGATTTTGCAGCACGTTTGGTATATGTGAAAATCAGCCTTATGTACATTTATTGTTTGTTTAAAATTAGCGCTGTTGAGTTTTTAATATTTCATTCACTAGACCTCTAGGGGTCTATATCACAGCAGCTTTTTGATTAGTATTGGTCAACACATTTACGATTAGTTATTCTGTAGATTAGCGCTGCCCATTTAATTAAAGCAAGTGATTATTAATGCCCAATCACAGGTGAACTCCCACTTGACCATTATTCCAAAACCAGGGGTGTCCCTAAACTTTTTGCCGCTTGGGGGCAGTGGGGGTGGGTTGCTGGTGGTGCACATTACTGGGCGGGAGGTGCAGGGTCCTGGCGGTGCACGTTACCATTCTGAGGGGATGGTGCTGTAGTGGCTGTGCACGTTATGGGGGAGAGGTGCGGGGTGCTGGAGGTGCACGTTACCATTCTGGGGGGTTTATTGGTGCATGTGACCTGGGGGCAGAGGTGAGGGGTGCTGGCAGTGCACTTTAGCATTCTGGTGGGGGGATGTGGTGGTGGTGCATATTACCAGGGGTGGTGCATGGTACTTCTGTCCGGTGTCCTGCTGAGCTCCTGGCAACTAGTGAAGTCAGAGAGCTGGACAGGAAACTGGCCAGAGTGCCACAGGTTGCTAAGAGCTCTCATTGACCATACAACCCAAAGAGATGCCACCTGCCTCATTATAGGGACGTCACTGTCCAAAACAAAAAAAATGCCCAAAACAAAGATAGCTCTAATTTTGAGATAATATACTTGTATCCTTTAATATTATAGTCTCTAATATACTTGTATCCTTTTATGAAACTTGCTACCAAAAAAATCTTTTATTTACACATATAAAGCACACCCATGTACAGAAAACATTGAAAATCACTAAAAACAAAGCTCTGGGATAAGCAAATATTGTCTAAATAAAAGATGTATGTGTATTCTTACTTGAATCTTGGTGTGATTTGTGTATTTTTTCAATGACTGTGCAGTAGTCCAATGTGAAAACTTTCCTTTGTGCAGGAGCTTTATATAATCAAGATCAGTCTCTGCTGCACTCTGTCCTTATGCAGGTTGACTGGTCATGTATTAGTTCTTCCTGTAGTTTTCTGCATACAGGCTGTAATAGCTATTAGGGATTTATATGATAGTTTTTCTTCTTAGAATTCATTCAGCTTTACAAAACTTATTAAATCAAGTTGAGAGAATTTTACTTCACCCAGGTACCCAAAACCATGGGGAAAGGGGGCTTTCAAGACACTCGATCTGTTCACTTAAATTATTTCCATTAAAAAATGATTTTATTGAAAACACAGCTAAAAGTTAGTTAGAAATAACCCTCTTAAAAGCATTGAACAGTTTGTTCATAGGTCCAATATATACCAATATATACTAGTTATTTCCATGATATACAACCAATATCCACATAATTCAAATGTCCATTTTTTTTCCAAGATCCTGGACATGTTTCATCATCTTGTGGCTTCCTCTGGACGATTTCAATACCTAGAACACTATGTAAATAGACATATCAGTGAGTAACAAGTTAAGATCAATTTGTTTGCTTGTCAACCTTATATACACAAAACAAAAACCTTTAGTTGTGGATTTGGCATGGGAGAGCATTTGCCCTGAGGGGGCCGTGGAGGGGCACACCATCAAACAGACCGGAACACCCCAAACACCAAGAGCGCTGGAGTTTCAACTGTGCAATAATTTGTAAAAAAAAAAAATTAGCAATACATGGCACTTTAATATATCAATACTGTGAATCCTATACTAAGATTAAATCACAGTTATACATTATTCAGTATAATATGTCCCTATTCTACTGTTCTATTGATCTTGAATAATTTTATCAGCTAACAAGTAATATAATTACATATTATGTATCTCTGCAGAGATACTCACGAGGTTATTATATACTTTCACTCTTGGTATACACAGATATCAGTCCTGTTATGCCCCTGCGTATGGATGTACTAGTATGAGGTTTTGATCTGGGAAGTAGTTAAAAGTGTTTTTTTTGGAATTATGTTATTCATTGACATATATGCAAACTGCAGGGGAGAGCAATTAGTATGCATGCATGGGATTATTGACAACCATGCAGTTTCTATGTGGATATATATATTAGAGATTTTTTCTTTTCTGTTTTTTTTCTTTCTCCAGCTCTCTTGGTGTTTGGGGTGTTCTGGTCCCTTTGCTGTTGTGCCCATCCACGGCCCCCTCAGGGCAAATGCTTTCCCATGCTGAATCTACAACTAAAGGTTGACCAGCAAACAAATTGATCCTGAAAAAAACGTATGGACATTTGAATTATGTGGATATTGATTGTATATCATGGAAAGAACCAGTTTGGTATATTCATGAGGACCTATGGACAATCTGTTCAATTCTTTCAAGATGGTTATTTTTAACTAACTTTTAGATGTGTATTCAATAAAATCATGTTTTAATGGTAATAATTTAAGTGGACAGATCGAGTGCCTTGAAAGCCCCTTTTCCCCATGGTTTTAAGGACCTAGGTGAAGTAAAATTCTCTCAACTTTGATTGTATAATTATTCAAGGCTGTATGCATCCAAACAATACACTATAAATTAGTTGGTAACCAGTGTTACCCCATTTCTTTTCAATAATATACATATTATTAGTCCATCCACATTCATCTGTGTGGCACCAATATTAGATGGACTATCAATTCCTTAACAAATATAAACAACGTATATACAGTCGTTTCTAGGGGGAAGAGTATAATCTCCACCATTTCCTCATAATAACTGGATATAGCTTAACCATAAACTTCAATCTCTCCCATATTGTAGCCAATATACTCCACAGTGCGTGGCTGTGGGCTCCACAAATTGTCACACATATGTGCATGTATATGGGGGGAGAGGGAAATGCATATCTATAGGGGCACAAAGGACAGTAGGGTTATGTGTGATGAAGGCAGGAAAGAAGATAAATGGAATGTGAATATGTTGATAATTGTAATGGAAATTTGGAGAGGAAAAGGGGGAATATACAGGACAGGGTTATGGAGAGCAGATGAGAGAGAATTCAGATCAATGGAAGTTAGTGGATAAGATCAGAGGACAGTATAGAGGGACACGTGAATAAACAATAAGAAGGAATAAAGTAGGCACAAAAAAGGAAAGCAGTAACAGCACAATGCAATGATGCTAAGGGACAGATGAAAACAGGAAAAGAGAAGAGTGAATACATTAGGGAGACTGGTGAAACATTGCTCCAGAAATAATGGCCACAGAACACTAGACATGTGCACTGCCAAAAAATTCTTTTAGTTTCGTTTCGTTTTAAATTCGGATTTGTGTTATTTCGTTTTTCAGGATTCGGGTGTGAAAGTCAATTCGGATTCGGAATTCGGATTCGGATGAAATTCGGTAGCGTTAGTACGAACGTTCGTTTCGTTTTCTGTTCTTATTCGTTTCTTATTCGTTTCGTTCGTTCGTTTGCAGCAAAAGTGACATTTGAGGGGGAAAAAATATTTTTCTCCTTCTCTAATGTCACTTTGCTCCAACTAATGAAACGAATAAGAAACGAATAAGAAACGAACAGAAAACGAAACGAACGTTCGTACTAACGCTACTGAATTTCGGAAATGGAAATTCGGATTCGTTTGCATTCGTTATGTCTGGAATTCGGAAACATCCGAATGTCCGAATTTCCGAAAATTCGTCCGAATTTCGATTCGGAACGAAACGAATCGCACATGTCTACAGAACACCAAACAGGTAGGAGAAGATATCTAGCGGAAAAGAGAGGTGCAGTATTAAAGATGACAGTGGACAGAGTAAGAAGGAGCCACCAAGAAAAGTAGTCTAACACTGAAAAGTAGAGCCAAGACAGAAGGAAAAAAATGCTGAGGAGGAGAGTGGAGATATAGGTGGTACATTCCCCCTAAGGGTGTGAAGCTTAACGTGTGCAAAAATCTTCCACTACTCCTGACAAGAAATGGGAATAATGCTTTTCATTTTATATTATATATGACATGTTTACTGAAGAATGAATATCTGAATACCAAGGACACTAGTTTCCCCACTAAAACTCTTGATATGGAATCAAATACTTTATTTTCATGTTAAAAAAAGCTTTAAAACTCATAATGTATAACATGGGCAGTAATTTTTTTGTCCAACAACCATATTTAGGTTTTTATTTGACTAAAAAAATCTTATGCAGTTTCTCTCCATGATTGTAGCCATAACACTGCCGAGAAAACAATAGAACGCATTTGTTGTAATGAGGAACTTTTAGACATAATAAGACACCAAGAAATAAAGATTCTATGTTAATGCTATTGATATTTCCCAAAAAATATTTAATCAATATTCATTGCTAAAGGTTCTTGAAACATATAATGGATAAAAAGAAAATGAAGAAAATGTAATTTTCTAACTCTATCCCAATCACCTCCTATTTTACTCTGTACTCTGAAACTCAGTTGCAGACAGTAAAATTCTTATTCTGCCGTCCATGTACATCACAGTGGCAAGCCAGTAGAAAAGAAGAATGGTCAGTTAACACTGCCAGTTAACAAAACCGCAATGTGATACTGATGTATTTTATAATAAGAAGCACTGTGACTTACAATGAAGAGTGAGCAGAACAGCATTACTGAAATGTGTTATTTTTAAGTGCACCCAGAAAATGTCAAACATTATTTCACATAAAAGATGGAAGAGCATGCAAGGGAGCATTTGGTAGCCTGATGTACATTACAAGAACATAAAAGAGTCAAATGCTTTGATGTGACCCATGAAAGGTTTGCAAATACCTACCTCTGCTAAATCAGACTTATTAGGTCAAACTTTGAAAAATTGTGAATCGATTTTCTCATCTCTAGCTGACAGAAAAAGTGTCTTTATTAAACATTATTAGTTTGACTTAAAGGATGTTTCCTTTGTTACTTGGCAGACTTCGTCCTCCAAAGCATATAAATAACAGTGGCATATCCTTACTTGTACATTTCTTTCCATGACCACCCCTACGCAATGCATTTCGACTTAGTCTGCAGTGAAAATTGTCTTCCCAAAATTCTGCAAACCAGACATTCCTTCTGTTGTTATCTAGTGTCCGACTTGTAAAGTATCTGTCAAACCCTAGGAAAAAATCAGAAAAATCAGAGATATATATAGGCATAGGTAGTGCGTGAGAGTGAGAAAGCAACAGCAAATACTAAATTGTTACTAAACCTCTGACTGATGCTCGTCTAGGCAGTATTGTGACAGATCCTTCTGCCACTTCCTCTTGCTGCAGAACTGGTGAGATCTTAGAACCCCAACTGTCAGAGCCAACCCACATGAAGTGACCTGTCTGATTCGCTCTTTTAGCAGCTGCAAGCACTCGTCTGTAGGAAACAGAATGATGAAGAAAAAAATATATATATAGTACCATATTCAATAAAAGTGTGCGAAAAATAAAATATGGTTTATTCAAACTAATACCAGCCTGCCAAATACTGTATATGTCAGTTGACATTAAATTACTCCAAATAACAATGACACTCCAAGAGAATTCCCATTGGTTATAATTGGCAGGAATATTAATTATCCAACACACTGTTAGGAAAGTAATATATATACTGTGACATGCAGCCAGTTAAATGTACTGTAAATATTTTCTGAATACAAAAAAATGAAGCTGCAGCCAAATAATACAACACTAGACTAAGAGCAAAACAATGTATTACATGTACTACTGGGACTAAATTTCTCTACTGTTTGTATTGCTAGAAAGGACCTTTGCAGTACAGTAGCATAAGCTCAAAGTGCACCTGTGCCCAGACTATGGACATTAAAGTATTTACATATTCTTAACTAGCTGCAAAAGAGCTTTCAAACAAGCCATTCTTACCTCTCTAGCTGCATGCACTGTGCAGTAATTAATTGTCAAAGATCCTTGAAGATCATTAGAAAAACTCAGGTCTAAGTCAAAGTTTATACTGCCATTAAGACAAAAAGATTGTCTTAATGGCAGTATAAGACAGAATGTTAGTTTGCATTTGAGATGTGTTTTAGATGCATTCTGGAAGCATTAGGGAGTGATTTTTGAAGCCCTCAAATGCCTGGGGTGTTTTTTTTTTGGGGGGGGGGGGGGTTCAGAGGGGAACAAGGAAAGAGCCTTGCCAAACTGCTCCACAAACACATGCCAAATGCCCTAGGAGCATTCAAAATGCGTTTGCAAAACACTTCCATTGACTTTAATGGAACATTCGCCAAGCTTGGCGGGTCTTCCAAACATTGCAGACAATATCTAAATTAATGCAAAGTGGCACAAACCCTCTGAGGGGAATTTATCAAAACTGGAGCAGACAAAATCTGGAGCAGTTGCCCAATGCAACCAATCAGCTTCTCTCTTCAGTTAAGATTTAAAAATGAAAGAGAGAAGCTAATTGGTTGCCGTGCACAGCTGCTCCAGTTTTGATAAATTCCCCTCACTGTGTGTAATAGACAATTTGCTTTTCATTTAAGGAACAAGCTTCATTAACATGAAAAAGCCTTACAGCTTAGAAATGCCTGATGTGTGTTTACATTATAGCTGGCAGGTTGCCAAGATTCTGTAGTAATAGAAAGCAATAGAAAAAAAAGTAGAAGATCTCAGTGCCTCTGAAAATTTGAAGATGCATTTCTCCACAATGCCTACAGTTACATAGGTGAATAGGACTTGTTTTAAAGTTTTTTTTACTGCTGGTTTAGAATATGTGAATATTTTAGATTGCAGAATCTGGGCACAGGTTCACTTTAAGTTGACAGTAGCTGATTACTATCTACACATGACACTGACCTGAAAATGTACTGAAGTTTGCTATATGCTGATGCCCACTACACACACATACACTCTTCTTTAGCAATTTAAGAAACTTAAATGTAGAGCTGCAACAGTTAATCGATTAAGTCGATTAAA